TCCCTACTCTTCTCTGAAACTTCGCTATCTATCCGAGCTGGCTTTGCGTTCGAACCAAGTCTCATTCTCGGTACGCTGACGTATCGCATACACTCCTCTTTAACCTCTGCATCCATTATGAAATCACCAATCTCTGCTGTTGGCGCATATATGGCGCTGAAGCTGAAGATATCCAGTAGTATTAAACATCCATAATATACCAAATGTTGAATGGCTCGTCTTGTCAACGAGAGATCGGTATCAGCCAGTTGCGCTATATGGGCTATCGAGTTGATACCGTTTATGTATGGTAGTATGCGATTGAGAGTGAGGTCCGAGGATACAGGTTGCTGGAGACTTGACAGAGATATGGTGAGCAAGGGCACTTGATGCGCGAGGATAGGCGGAGGAGGCGGTCGCGTAGGGAACAGCTTCAGGTTGATCGTATTCGAGTCATCTGGTGGTTAGTTAGTATATCGCATACTACAGTTTGGTACGAAGCATGACTTACCGATTGGTATCATACACTCTGCGTAGTTATTTAAATCCTCAAGCACCATCTCACAAAGCGCATACACCTTGCTTCCACCATCTATTCCAAATCCGCCGACGCCATCGTCGTGCCCAAACCCGACGTTTCCTCCTTCATCTTCCCAAAGGCCCTCCTCTTCTCTGGACAAGAATCCGCCTTGCTCTTCTAAGCCTCTCAACAAGCGCCCTAGCTTCCTCACGACTTCGCCGTAGCACGCCCAATCGCGCTCATTTTCGCCTATCACAATTGCGAAATTGAAGATGAACTCATTCCTACTGTATTTCCCTTCTCTTATGCAAACCGGGTATCCGATGACGCGATTGTGGTTGATGCAGAAAGTGAGTAGGCGGTCGCAGAACTGTTGCGTGGGTATGAGGAATTGCGTGACCGAGGGGAAGGTGAAGAGTGGTGTGGGGAGCGCCGATGGGAGGTTGGAGGGTATTATGGCGCCTGCGGGTACCTGATGGAGGACGCGATTCCCTGGAGATGTTAGCGGAGTTTCTGAAGGCGCGGCTCTCTTTTGATTACCTTTCTCATGATGGAAGCGAGTATAGAAAATGGCTTTGATCGCGCGCGTAGGCATTGAAATCTGTAGGCTCTACCGCCAGAGTTTGCTGGCGACTACATGGTGAGTGTAGAGCCTCCGGAGTCGCGATGTGGGGAGCTTGAGAGAGCTTCCAGGGTTCCGAGGTGTGGTCTGTGCGTTGCATCACGCGTCGTCGTTATGAGATTTCCGAAATACCATTCTGATACATACGACGGAATCTGAGCAATCGTTACATTGGCTGTGAGAAAATCACCTGATCATTGCAGTCGAAATATGTCTAGTCGTAGTTCCTATTCGTGGCCTTTCCCAAATACACGCTTTATAAATAGCGTCACCCGTTCACCAAACATCTTCGAAGTCCTATTTCCGACCTTGCCTTGCACTGCTCTAGGGTTGACGATTAGTTCCTTCAACTCGATAACATCCAACTTCAGCTGAGCTAGTGTTCTCTCTGAGGCTGGAAAACAAGGTACTGTTGCACTACGAGACGCCAAGCGCTGCTTCATCCGCTCGGTAGCTTGGGCATCCCCAGCCAAGAATTCATCGAAGTTCTCCTGGATGATAACCAATGCAGTTTTCGTGCCTTGCTTCCTCGTCTCAACGCATGCGTTGGCATCCGCCCCATGTAGAAGTAAGAGTTTCAGTATGGACACCCATTTGACGGGATCTTGGATCGGCGTATACAGACAATTTTGCCAGGCACTGAACCCGTTGAATTTGAAGTTCGGGTCAGCACCGTTTAGTAAGAGAGTCTGAACGAGATCAGGGTCACTGAAGTCTGACCAGTGTCCGTGTTGTGGCTCAGGTCTGCACGCGTAGTCGAGCAAAGGCCTACCACGTTTGTCCAAACAAATCTGGCCTTTTGCGCGGATGGTGTCTTGGACGTATAAGGTCAACCCAAATCTGACGTTCAGGGACATGAAGTTATCATGCCAGGGAGCAGGCCTTGAATAATCCTCCTCCCATGTGTCGCACCAAGTCGCCCCCTTGTATTGTCTTTGTTCTCCCCAACGTCCCGTGACGTCTGGGAAGTAAACCCTCATTGCTTTGTCGAGCTCGTCGAGGAGTTTTCGAGAGCTCATCTGGGTGTCCGCTTCTGTAAGTCGCGCAAAGAGCAGCGTGGTAGTTATAAGCTTCCAGGGAACCTTGCGATCGGCAGGCCGCTGCCGCAATAGATCCACTGCTTTGACTTCCATGACCAATGATTGTAACATAGCCAGAGAGGCATGGAACTGCTGTCCTTCTGTGTGGCTTACCAAATCGTCCCAGACCTCTTTCTTGTGTAAAAAGTCAGCAACAGTCCTGTGAAGATATACGACGTCCTTCCTGCTCCTGAGGTCTGCCTGGCTCAATTCGTCTTGAAATATGTCCTGTTCCTGGGACTTGACTCGCGTCCGGAGCTCTAGGAGACCTGCGCAACGACTTCTAAGTCGACGATCTGTGGTGATCTCTATTTTTTCGAGTTCTTCATCCGACAAGGGAGAGATTTTTGCGCTTATGATCTCTTTGGTCTTGGCTTCTGCATAGGATAATCTGACGGCGGATAGTGGCCCTACAGAATCTCCTCTCATCACAGACGACTGTTGGTGGCCTTCGTCATTGCATCGAAGGATCTGAAATATGCATGCGGCTTGTGACTTATACAGGGAAGGTACGTTACTCAGCATGTGAGTGAAAAGCGCCTCAAGATCCTGCGGTAAATCCCGGAGCCGTAGTTGAAGCTCTTCGATCTTGTCGCCATTCCGTAGCCCTTGAAGGAGAGACTTCACTACAAGTTTGACCCATAAGAAAACGCCAGAGGCTGAGCCGACGATCTCTTCAACAAGGGCTTTGGTGTCGTCTTCGTAAGTGGCTTTCAGATACACCATCTGAGGATGTACAGACAAGCTGTCATCCACATACTTTGTGATATCGTTATGAGTGAGCTGTTGGAGCTGCAGTTGTGGCTGACTAGCGAAGCAATCCGTAAATTCCGTGAGTGGCCTGCTTGATAGAAGGGCTTTGATCTTGCCACTTTTCGTGGCAGTGATGAACATCTCCCCAAGCTCGGTCATCGTGATTCCTCGAGCATCAAACTCATCTAAACCGTCGACTACTATCACGATCTTCGTGGATGTGAGAGGATTGTTCATGAGCCTTCCAAACGCTCGTCGAAGCTGGTGAAAGGTTGGGAATTCGCTCCATTCGGCGTCGAGTAGATACTGCTCCGCAAATAGTGTAGAGGCTAGAGATATGTCCTGACCGAGCACTTGCCAAAGTAGTGAACGCAAGAGGCCTTCTTGTGACCTTTGGATTTCAGCACCTGAACTCCAGAAGTAGAAGTCAGCAACAATGAGACGATCGCCTCCAGCCCAGAGATGTAGTGAATCCATAAACCGGGGATCTTGATAGAGATACTTCATTAACGTTGATTTTCCGGACCCGGCCTTCCCGTTAATCCAATACACGCCACCATCCTGGCGAAGCCAGTCTGTGAGGCTTGGCCAGCTTGAGGAATCTCTACTCTCCAGTGCCCAGTTGAAGGTGTTCTGATGCGCAGTCACGATATCATCGTACCTGTCGTCTTTCCGGGCGAAGTATAGCTTATTCGTGATTGCGCGTGGGACATCCTTTATGCTGTACTCTTCGAGTCGTTGATTGGCGATGCTATGTAAGACCTCTTTGTGACGTATCGATGCCAAAGAGCTGTCGATCTCTTGCCGTTGTATGATCTTTTCGGTTTGTGAAGTTATTGTCGTGCCGAGTTGTTTGTTGCTCTCCACTATGCTCAGCATCGCCGTCCGACTCGTTTCATCTAGGCCTTGCAATTGGTCATGCCTGATAGATATCAGAATCCTAAACTGAAGCTCATCACGCATTGTCTGAAGTCGTAACTTGATATCCTCGATCTTTTTAGCATTCCAAGATGCTTTTAGAGCGCTGAGAATCGTTTTGTATCTGGCCGCGTCTTTGGAACATCGCAACGACTCGAGTTTAGCGATAAGTTCCTGAGCAATCTTCGTGCACTCAGCAGCCAGATCCTCGAGTGCCTGTAGATATGTAAGACTGACGTCGTGGGCGCCCAGACCTTGTACATGTCTAACGTACCTGGCTGTCCTGGGCCAATGGGCCCGAGCTGGCCGGATTAGGACGAGCCCATAATGTTATGCGTTCGTTCAGTGCTGTGAAGTCTTCAACCACCCGTTCTAATTCCGAGTTCTGGACGGTAGAACCTGACTGGCGAATTTGGTTTCCAGTTGACAAGACTGTCGCGGTGAAGTCTATGACCTGTAAGATGTTGGCAGCAAGACCAAGTCCTGCGATGGCTTCCATGGCGGCCACTCGAATGTGACAGGAAAGGACATCGCAAGTGTGAGGCTGAGGGCTGGCGTCTTAAAGGGTCGGACGAGTATGCAGCTTAGCTGCGTGCAGGTGTTGCGCTAACGTTCAGCTGAAGTCGTGCGGGTCTGGAAGCCAATGGGCGCACATGATCACCGCCACCAAAACAGCCAACAAGTGGTAACTCCGAAGATCGCCCAACCGACTCTTCTGCCAGTTTGTAGAGAGATTCCATAATGCTAAGAACATGCGCTTATCGAGCAAACCGCGCTGTGATGTGAGGATAGCGCCTAGTCAGAGTGGCACCACCTCCTACATGAAAAAAACTGAACAACTGCCTCCTAGAAGTCTACATTACCCCGAAGGATATCTGAATTTCAACTCTTACACTAACGTAGACGGCAGAGTATCTGTTTAGTTTTTTCCTTGTATGAGGTGGGACTGGATTTGAGTTGGCGCGATCAACTCGTGAAAGGGTATATTGAAACGTATCGATACGCTCGCCTGGATGGAAAAATGAAGAGCCCAATCCTTCTTCGGAAAAGTTCACGCCGTGTAGGAAAGAAGTGCACACGTACGAGCACGCATCAAAGGAGAAACCACCTTGAGCGAATGCCGCACCACTTAATCGTCCGAGCCGTCCTCAGGAAGCTCCCTCAACACGCCCTCCACAATCTCAATGAGCTCATCAACATCCGGTCGCTCGCTCGGCTCCAGCCTCAAACACTTCCTCACCACCTCTTTGACGCTGTCTGTGATAGCATCCTCGGGGTTCGCCTTCTGCTTACCCCTCTGCATACCCTCATCTGGAAATCTCCAGTCACCACCCAATACACATATGCTCAAACTACCACCAGTCTCGTCTGACCTAGCCTCGAAGGGGCTCTTGCCGACCAAGCAGGCGTAGAGCGTGCAACCGAGCGACCAAATGTCGACCTTGGTGTCGATAACAGAGCCGGTCTTGACGTCGAAGAGTTCTGGAGCGCGGTATGGCATGGTGGAGTGTTCGGCCGCGGTGTCTTGGATTTGTAGGGCGAGGGATCGCGACGTTACGGGCGTGGGGGAAGGTGCGAGGGAGCCGAGATCCATGAGGATGGGTGTCTGGCCGTCGTCGTCTATCATGATGTTTCCTACGCGTGTTAGTCTCTAGAATGCGCAACCATAAGATGAATGCAGTGCATACCAGGCTTGATGTCCCTGTGCGCGTACGCCCTCTCCCCGCCAGGCGCAATGCCTTCGTGCGCCGCTGTGACTTCTGATTCTTCTAGCAGTCCTTCTGCCTCTTGCTCGTCATCCTCGTCATGATCGCGATTCCGCCTGCTCGGGCGCATCTCCATTGTCTCCGCAGCTTCCGCGTCTGCCCTCTTCGCGTCCCTCCGGACCTTCTTCGCCTTGCCTTCACTCTTCGCGCCGCCGGGCCCGCCCTTGATCTTGTACTGATGCATTGCCTTTAGCGCTTTGCAAACACCCAGGAACAGCACCATGAGTCTTCGCTCTGGGAACTTTGTGTGGTTGACCAGGTTCGCGTTGATCATGTCTTGCAGGTTGCCGCGACGGTAGTACGGGAGGAGGATGTATACGGTCTTCGCGGACGAGTCTGACTTGTCGGTTTCAACAGAGTAGTCGATTGAGTGTATGATGTTGGGGTGCGGCGAGAAGAGTGTGTAGGCCTCGACTTCCTTGAGCGCCAGGCTCACGCTTTCTTGGCCGAAGGGACATCTGATCTTCTTGAGGGCGAGGAGTTGTTGATTTGAGTTGTCTTGTACGAGGTATACATATGAGAAGCCACCCTGGGTCGCGATGAGTAAAGTGAAAGTGCATTGGAGATAACTTAGCTTACCTCGCCCAGCAGCCGTAATATCTTGAAACTTCGACTGTTGATCTTCAATTGTGGTGAGCTAGGAAAGCAAACCATGCAATTTGTGAAGGAATAGACAACGTCCAGGAAGTATGTGCCTAGGGATCCCATCGTGGCGATTTCCGTTGCGACTGCTGTTTGTTTTGTTTGCGAAGCTATCGACAGCTTGCGGGAAGGCGGTGCCGAGATAGACGCGCGGTCAATTCGAATTGTCGAGTGTCGCAATAGTACGGAGCTTATTTTTGGGTGATGAGGGGGTGATCGGGGCGGAACGATAGTGAAGACGTGTTGTTTACTGTGATAGGATGTTGGTGCTGACGACGAGGTTCCGGCTTGCGCCAAGGCGTGGCTGTGAACCCTGGCAGTTGCACGCTTCCGATCGCCTGCGGAACGTGGTCGGGAAGATCCACATGCGGCTAACCCGAAGCGGACGGTAGCGCCGCACAACCAAAAACTTGGAATATAAACCAAACCCAGAATGAAAAGAGTGCGCCTTTGATTCAGACTGCGGTCTGGTCCTTTGGGCTAGTCCTCGGGATAGTGTTCTGGTTATAAATCAAACTTTGTCAAAATTCGCCATCAACGTCTCCAAGAGACTCCAAACTTCATGGGCGTGTGGCTCAGTGGTAGAGCGGTTAGTAATCACCTTGTACAGAGTGTATGCGACACAAGTACTGACTTAAAACTAGTCCGCTTTGCATCTCCTTTGCTCGAAAGGGCGTTGAGTACAGCAATCTGCGGAAGGTCCGGGTTTCGGTATGTTCAGAATACGCTCCAGAGGTCGAGCCCACTCGCTAACATGTTCAAGATCACCCGCCCGTCCATTAAAACTTCTTTTTTGCTGTTTTTTGGCTGCCTTTTATTCCTATTCTTGCAGGTTATAACATGCTGTCGCAAGAGCTAAGTAATTATTGCGAACCTAACTTGTCTAAGACACTAGGAGAACGTTACTTAAAACCTTGCAAAATATTAAAGATGCACACAAACGCTGCTTGCATTGTCTAGCATTTTGTCTATGCAGCAAAGCTTTAACCTCCGTACCTTGCCTTCACCTGTAATACTCTGCCGTGAGCCACCTATATGTCCAGTACCCAGAGAGACTTGATTCTCAAGAGTTTTAGAGGTAACTTCGACATTTTCTACGTATGTTATTAGGTCCATCGCACGTATGTGTAAGTCTAGTCAAGATCAGTCGGGCTAGCGGCATGAATGTTTAGATGTTTTCATCAACGCTATTGTACCCGGCTATCATAAGGAGTTGAACACATCATCAGAGACCAGCTCCTCAGAAAGATTACCTCCCGCTAATTACCAATCCAAACGCATTACCAAGTACCTCATCTACCACAACATCTTGATCAGGCCGAAATCTAAATACCGTACAGCCTACATCAACGCCAGATTTTCCAATCCGCTGATGTTATCCCAGTGTATGCGGCAACGTCCTTGAGTTTGATCCCTGTATCCAAGGACTCTACCTTACACAAGAAAAAAGTGAACAGGTTTGCAGACTACATTAACGTAAAAGTATGCAAAGTAGGTAGCCTAACGTCGATGTAGACTCTAGGGTGTTTAATTTTTCCCTAGGTTGGCGTGACCCCCCTCTCAAGGTGCGACATCCTTCGGCATCCCATCAACCCCCAGATCAATCTCCTTGTCCAGATTCTCCAAGAACCCTTTGCCGCGGAAATCCTCCTTGCCAACCACCTTGTCCATTATACCCGCAACCTCCTCACACTTGTTATACCACATCCTCTCGTAATTGTACTCGTCCGCGGAACCATCCGGCATCATGATCCACTCAGGTATCGCGCCTTTCTCTTGCTCATTATCCTTGTACCACCAAAACCTCGCCGTATCATCCTCTTTTGTGCGCCAGTTACCGCGGTTCCAGTTGTGTTTCAGCGGAGAGTGCTTGTCCCATCCGCGGACCAGATGGCGGTAGTAGGCGATGGGGTGGATGTATTCGTTTGTGTCGCCCAGGTCGCGCAATTTGGTCCATTTCGGCGCTTTGGTATCTTCGTTGTAACACTCGACTTCTTCGTGGCCGGGCATGCGTTGCCAAGATCCGATGAAGTAGTATATGCCGCTGTAGGAGTCTACGAGGGGACCTGTGCCCCAGCTGAAGTCGAAGTTGGTGTGTGAGTGGGGCGGAGAACGCGGCGGGGGTTTGAGTGTATCGTGGCCGATGCCAGGAATGGAGATCTTTGGGAGCAGATTCCAGGCTTTTTGAAGGAGGTTCTGGTGGTGATAGGTGCAAGCGAAGCGGAGTCGGAAGAGCCAGCGCGTGTACTGGTCCATGGACAGCTGGAAGGCATGGCGGTCGATGGTAAGGTAAGGGGAGATGACTTGAAGCATCCAGCAGAGGGTTGCTGTGGAGATGTTTTCCGAATCTCCCTTCATGTCACCGAAAGCGTCTTGTGAACCACCGCCGATATTTGTATGCACACCAGGGAACCAAACCTGCTTCAGCTCCGGTGTTGGTCTGTTGGGATCGTCGACCAGATCTTTGGGGATGTACCAGAGAGTAGGGCGGAAAGCCTTCCGACGCTCATCCAGAGCCAACGCCTGGAATGCATGCTCGATATCTACAGACTGTTAGCGAGAATCACAAAGCTTCGACACCACTAAAACTCACGCTCCGTCAGCTCGACATTGTGAAACCCATACTTCGTCCTCGACCACGCCAGATCAATACCAATCAGATCAGGTACACCCAACGAGCCGACAGTGTCCCACACACCAACCACCTTCACCTTCCTGCTACCCTCGCTGACAGCAAGCTCACCATGCGGTCGAATATCCCATACTTCCGCCAGCAGTTTGAGATCATGCCAGTCGATGTTCCTGACATCCACGCCCTCTTTCTCCATCTGCAGACCCTTTTCGCTGAGCTTGCCTTGGGTGAACCATCTGTATTCATTCGTCTCCCGAAAGTCAACACCCTCTTCGTTTCTTTGATACAGACGATACAGCTCCGGGAAGAATTGCATGTTGATTGGTGCAATCACGCCGATATCCGAGACCAGCCCGGCAACCGCACGTGCGGTATAAGCTCCTCTCGAAAAACCGAAGCAAAATATTTCATCGCCCGGCTCGTAGTTTTGCACAATGAAGTTGTAGGCTTCGATGACATTCTCTGCGAGACCGGCTCCCGTGCCACCTTGTCGTCGCCTCTCAGAGGTACTGAGATTCCCGGTTCCTATCCCGGAGTCATAGTACACAATCTGATGGAATTTCTTCGACGCGTCGTCCCTGTCGGTGCCAACACGCGCTATCAAGCGACAGAGTCTGGCAACATTTGAGGGTATGTTGTCTTTGCTGCTGACGCTCGATTGCCATGTGCCATCGCAGCAGATCACTAGCCGTCGTCTCCAGGCGGTGTTGTCGTTGACCATGATGGCAGAATGCAAGTTTGTGTAGGTAATTGGGGAGAGTAGAACAGAAGGTTGGTCGTCTGTAGAGCGCAATGTCGATTATAGGAAGGAGGAATGCGTATAAACAAATACCAGAACGCTGATCAGATACCAAGGCTGAATCGTAGGCAAGCGCGTCGGACGTCGTTATATGACACTCAGGGGTAAGCAAAAAGACAAGTAAGTACACGCAGCACAAAAGACGAAGCTGACCGGTTCCAAGCCACGAAGCTGCATTCAGGCAATGGGGCAATGAGGCAGCGCAACTCTTCTAATTTATCCTCATCGAGTCGTACACCGCGAATGGTCGATCACCGAATGCCCATGACGGACGCCTAATTCCCCATGTCGCCAATGCGCCCGCCGCATTGTCCAGGTGCGGCTGAAGGAGGCTGCCAAGCGACCTGTTTGAGCGGGATGAAGCGCTGCTCCTACCCGCACGCCTTTGCATTTTCACCGAAGGACGGGTCAGACTGCGAACGCCTTCAGGATGGTCTGATATGGCGCGGAGGGGTTGGGGTGAGAATTGCTCGCGTTGCGCGCGTCGGCGCGCTGTCTGAACAGGAGAGAATGCGGTGTGCGTGTATGGGGCTTGTGCACGCGATCATCATTGCCGTCGCTACTTAGCTTTGCTGTTTGAACTTTGATCGCGATATCGAAAACACTGTTTGTGCGCGTGTGGATAGTTGTGAACTGATCAATGTGTGATGGGTGTTGGGGGATCATGGGCGGGGTCCGAGGCGCGGGCAACGCGGTCAAGGCGTGTCAGCTGTTGCCCGAACCCTGAAGTAAAAATATTCAGGCAACGGCAGGCACAGCCCATCTCCAACTCAAAATGCTACAGCAACAGTCAGATTACTGTCGAAAGCTGCATTCTTGTTACACCAATGTCAGCTCAATACTTGCTTGTTTCACTCGGCACGTGCATGCTGTCTCAAAAAAAGGCCGAGTGTGCTTGCACTGCCAGAAGGCGGCGGCAATGTACCAACATTGATTCATCTTGTCAATACCTTATATCCAAAAAGCGGTCTATACTATCGTCGAACATCAAATCGTGACCAACAGTCGCTGAAGCGCAAATCCGTGGAGTATCCCAGTGCCGTCTGTCGCGATATGGCGCCATTTTGGCGCAATCCCAGAGCATCGTTGTGGCAGCCGCAGGCGTGCCTATATAACGCCCACCATCCTAACATGAAAAGAACGCTTAATCGCTGAACATTACAAGACTCCTTGCTGAAACTTGTACGACAAACTCGCGAGTCGTCAACCACTCACATTGAGCGAGGTGAGTTACCAGCTGTATGCGGCCGACTGCCGTATTGGGATCCATCATTAAAACCCTCGAAGCTTTCACCTGATGACATCCTTCTCAGATCGTTGTCGTCGCCCATGTCGACATCTTCCATCTCGTACCGGCCCGCCCCATTCGGGTTCTGCGGCGGTCCCATATTGGCAAAAGAACTGTATTGCCGCGGGGGCGCCGCGGGAGGAACGCCAGCACTGCTGATTTGTTCTGCGAGGCTGGGCTTCTCCGCCAGATTGTTAAGCATGGCGCGACTTGCGTCCAACATCGATACGGCGTACTCGAGGAAGTCCGCTCGCTTGGAAGAGACGGAAAGCGTCCAGCGGTACTCGCATAGCCTGAGCTTGTAGAACTCGGCTTCCTCCTTGGCGGGTGCTGTAGCCCACAACAGCGACCCAAAGGTGCCAATGAGGGTAAAGTTGACTTTGGAAGCAAAGTACCAGAAGCCCTGCAGGTGTTCTGGCTTCAGACGGTTCACAAAGTCCATAGCAGAGATCAGCCGCGTCTTCGCGGCGTTGCGGCACATAAAGAGGCCGTAAGAGTCGGGGTTGGTGGAGTCGAGCGACTGCACTATGCGCCTGTGCAGCGTAATCTCCGTCGCAAAGTACGCAAGATGCAGATACCCCGTCGAAGTGAGCTTGCCCTTCTCGGGAACGTTCATCTTCACCTCGGCGGGTAGCTTCTCGTGCCATTGACGGAGCTTGATTTGCACAGGCTTAGCTCGTGCGAGGATCAGCTCGGTCGACTTTCTCCCTGCATCGGCAAAGTCGTGGATCGCCGTTTGGGTGTAAAATGTGTCCATGACCTCGGCCATGATCTGCGTGAGCCCGATCATCTGGGCAAACAGTATCCGGCCTCGGTGGCTCTCTATCTGCTCCTCCTCTGTCTCTTCCTGGCGAGTCTCGTACCCATCTCCTTCTTCAACAAAATCGTCTTCTGTGATAGGCTTCACTGCCCAGTTGGCATTGAAGATGTGCGATGGCCGGCCATGAATGAGCGAGCTCCACTTGTCTTGCATGTACAACGCCCATGCGATGCGCTTCCTCAAGCCACGCTCCCAGAGAGGAACTGACCACGATGAGCAGTCGAGATGCAGACCTAGTTCTTGACCAATAGCCACCAGCTGTGTTGTCAAGCTCCAAGAGTCCGCTTCAGGACGTTGCAACAACAACAAGCCCGCTTGTATCGTTGACAGTTTGGGGCGCTCCATACCCAGTGTGAGCGCCTTCATAGCAATTGCTTCCAGCCGCGTTGCATCAGGTCTGGAGTAGTTTGCTAGCTTGGGGTCGAGAGACCACCAGTTGAGCGCCAGGATGTACATACCAGCCAACAAGGCCGGTGAAAAGCCTCGATCGCCTCTGCGATATCGCTCAACAAACAGATGTTTCTGGATGATGGGGTAGTTGGGATGTACTACTTGGAAGTATAGATCTAGTAAAGCAGGGCCGTGTGGGTGCACAAGCTGCTCAACCTGACCCAACGCCTCAGACTCGCCGGCGAAGTCTTGTGTGTTCTCGTCAGGTAGCATGATGAAACATTCATGATCATTCACACGTCGAAGCGTACCAAGGTCGAAGGTCGACTCGTTACGGGTGTCGAACTGTGATAGGCCAATGAGCAGCGAATCGAATGGAGAACTCAGACCGATGTATCTGCTATGTTGGCGTCGTTGCAGCCCTAATGTCTCTCCAAATTGAGGCAAGTGAAGACTCGCTATTTGAGATAATGAGGGTTGCGGTGGTGGTGGACTTGGCGCAGTTGCTGTGATGGTCGGTGTTGATAGTGCTAGTGGCGGAGGATCTGAGTCGACGGATCTGCCAGAGGATGTCAGCACGACATCCAACTACACGCCGATGAACCAGAAGATCTAGCGAAGGCCACAGCTCCTGGTGCCACGACCACATGCGGGATGGAAAAAGCAAGTAGTGCCACACATGCGCACGTGACCTGGTAGCGTGACGCAAGAGGCATAGCAGATGTCGGAAGTGATATATCTACGCGAGCCGTGGACGTGAAGCAGTAGCGGGGTGGCCTAAACATACCTCTTCTTGGTGTTGTTTGGCGAGTCTTTCTTCTCACCGTCGACGACCTTCCTCTTTCGCGGCAGTGGGCTTTGTACGAAGGTACACTCCTGCTTGTGGAACTCGCACAAGACACACAAGGCAGCGCCCTCGTGTATCACACAGCGGCTCTTCCTCCTTCGGCACGCGTCACAAGGGCGTTCCCTCCGTGAGCGGATGTTAGATACTGGACCGTTGTTGGACGTGGGCTTGCTCAAGCTCTCTTTGCTGGATGGTGACTTCTGTATCGTGCGAGGACGAGCTGGTGCTATAGAGACAACAGGACGTGGGCCCATAGCCGGCTGCTGCATTGCTACGGCCGTCATGGCTAGCTGGCGTGGTGGAAGGGTGCGATAAGGCTATGATAGACTACGGCCCGTTGGCTAGTTTCCGAATCAGGGTGCAAGTATCTCGCTATCGGAAGCAGGGTTCGTGACAGGTCTTATCGCGTGGGAGATAGGTAGTTCAATCGGTATATGGGAGATATCCCGGAAATGCAAATCCAGTTGGGTAATCCAATGGAGAGTCAGACGAGTCCTACTTAGGGCCCTAGGTTGCCGGTAACGGCGGCGAGGAGTATGAGGTGACTGATGGTTCGCGCCGTCATTGAAGGTCTACGAAAGAAGTAGAGGATGGGCGGAGGCGGGCGGGATGGCGGGATAAGCCTGGCCTTGGAGCTTGGAGACCTAGAACCCTGTGTGGGGAGAGAGCAGGCGCATAATCGGGGGTGGCAGTTGTATATACTGGAGTGTCGCTGGAGAGCGCGCTGCGAGAGTCTTTTGTGGCAGACATGTGCTCGGGATGGGTTTCAAGATGCAGGGTGCACGGATGTTGCTTGGAGGTAAGCTGGATGGGCTCTAGCGGCTTCCTGCATTCTATCTTACGTACAGCCGAGAGATAAGGACTTTGCGGTGGGCCAATGGTCGCCGTGCATGGCTTCCCCCACCTGAATAATGTGATCTTTCCATTACTCCAGCTCTTGCTTATCTGTGCGTCTGTACTACACAGGATCCAGTTTAACTGTCTAGAGGAATTACTCTTATGTACTCGTTACCATACTCCATAGTTTTAGTATTGGCGCATGCACGTCACCCACGGCTACGCATCATTATCTCTCGCCTAGCACTTGTAAACAGTTGACGACCGTTGGAGGGACCTTGCAGCTGACAGTTGCACCGCTGAATTTTCGTCGGTGCAGCCTCGACAGCACATGGCACGACGTGATGGATCCAGCATTTTGCCACGTTCCGAGGTTTTCACGAGTCGCCTCATCGCGAGGCAGCTCGCCCGACCATGCCAGTATCCATGGTTATGGTATGAACGGCCTCCGCACGTGTCGCGTGTTCTCCACAAGCCCTACTGCCATACTTAGCATAGACCCCTCGATAGCGATCTCCGCTCCGCTCTGCCCTGGTCTCATTTCTCACCGCTCGCACTTCAGGCAAAACGCTTTCCGCTCCGACCACCGGCAGTGCGCAGGACCCGAATATCTCCGCCAATCCTAGTCAACGAGTTACATCCTGCCGTTGCATCTTGCCGTTGATGTCATAGCACTTTTCGCCGTTGACGCGATTCAGGGAGGCTGGGTGAAGAACCGCGGCGCCGCCAAACCTCCCAAGACCGAAGAAGGCTGGAAAATCGGATGCGATCTACGCCAGTGTACGTAAAACGCAGCCTTAGCCTCGCACTGCCAACGACCTCAGACTTGGGTTGCGATGCTGCGGGATGACAGATGGATACCCAGCAGCACGCTCAGTACTTCCACATTCGTCCTCGCTTAAACTACCGTTTAATCTCTCAACAACGGAACGATATATCCTCCTCCGAGTACTGGAGGTCGTTGTTGAAAGGCCCGTAAAGAAAGTCAGATCCCAATATTCCCCTCATCGCCCGCTTGATGCGACTGGCCTAAGTACCGGAATGAAATCCGTCCGCTCAACCGCATGTAGATTTGAAAGACCATGGGTTCGTGGTTGACATTACGAGATCTTTAAGCGCAGATCCGCATGTGAGAGACTAGAGGGTGTGGATTCTGCCCAGGCTGATGACATCTCAGGGAAAGTCGGGCCGCTTTTCTCCGGAGTGTGAATCATCCACTCCGTCGTCACGACTACATGTTGCGCCCTCTGAAGAGTCAGTCTAACCATTCTTCGTGCACTTTCACTGGATGTATACGAGAGTCCTTGACTCGATAGTCCAAAAACCTGCCTCCTAGCCGTTGGAGTTTTTACGTCGTGTCTGCTTGAGCATATAAAAGGAGCCAGGTATACCTTGACAATGCCCAGGTAACAAAGTGGCAACACATCGTAGACGAAGCCTAAGCCTACAACGTCAGTCTTTAGCCACCGCTGCAGGAATACGTGTAGGATGACGAACCCTCGATTTGTCGTGAATCTACAGTCAGCATCTCCTTGCCGCTAGCTTACTCTTGAGACCTGCAATATATCGTACCCTTGGGTTTCGGGTTGATTGATCTTCAAGATCTACTCATACGTTGAACTTCCTCAGATTCTAGATTGATATTGCGGAAAACCCCTATTTCTAGATGGCCGCAATGGACACTATGCAGCACGGGGCGACAACGAGCATGTTGCTCCGGCATCCGAAGAAAGCATCCGGGGCTATAGAGGCATTGCCATGGTGCTTGATGTTGGCCTGTCCGCCTATGTTCGCTGTTGGTGTTGACTCAATATCCTCTTCCCCATCAAGTAAACACAAGCAAACAGGTTAAGAAAAACTTACGCAGGGACCGAGATTGACATGTGGGTAGACCAGAAAGCGAGGAGGGTGTGGGACGCGCTAGATTCGGTCCGTATGAGTATGCATACGTCAAGTTGCGCTCTCCGTGGCACTCTGGTGCAAAAAGGTCTTTTCAACAAGTATCAGATTTGGACCAGGTGAAGTAGCTATGGATCTATCATAAATCCTCGTAGCAATTAACAACCATATACTTAATCCATATTCTCTTGCCCAATGTCCAGTACTCCTTGCACCTCCTGCCTCGGCCATATGTACATTTGTGGGCTTCGGGTACCCTATCATAATGGATATAGAGACGCGCTTTCGACCCGGTCGTAAACCTACAACCCCAGCGCATCGATCATACCACCGTAATCATATCGTCGTTATATTTAACGCGCCTCGCTGAAAATGGATAAAGAAGGTATCGCGAATAGGCCGTCTCGTGTGCCATGGTGGTGCGCGCAGCTGTTGCGCGTGTTCGGTTAACGTAGAGTAGACCTTTGGCTGCGCCGCGGTTCGATGGTGGATCAGTGCATGGGAGGCTGATAGTTGATCGGTCGCCTGTTGGAGGATTAGCTTGCAGCGCGCGGTGCATGCTCTGACACAACGTACTTGAAAAGCAAAATGTGAGGTTCTGGTTCATGGACCTCGTAGTGCTCCCATCCCAAACTCTGTCTCCAAGTCAGCATATATGTTGCAGCCTGCACTTAAGCCACGCGTACCTGTGTGATGCCCAGTGCCCGCCATTCCTCCTCCCACAGCAGCTTCAGTGTGCCTCGCGCGCCGTCAAAGTAGTCTTTTGGGATAGCCTTCAGCATTTGCTTGGGCAGCTGCACATGGCGGTATTCGTATGCGTCGTCCGAGTATCTGTGATCGCGGTCAATAAAGAAAACGCGCTGACCGCCTCTTGTGTTGACAACCCACCTCGCCGAGTAATGGATCGCGTCGACAAATTCATCCAGCTTTTCCTTCTCGTGGTCCGAAAGCGGGCGCGGCTTCTTGTTTCGGCGCGTGAAGTCGATATCCAACTCGCCCGACATTGTGCGCGTAGGGTGGTGTGAGGAGCTCGTGTGCTCCGAGGTCGTCAGTGGGGTGTCGGCGGGTGGTAGAAGCGAGCGGGGCGGGCAGCTAGCGGGAAGTCGCAGTCGTAGATGTGGGAAGAAGAAGCGCTTGGATGCAGAGGTTCGTGTTCGGGCGCGTCGGGCGTGCAGTTATCGAGCAAGATGAAGAATAGTTCAAGTAAATGACCCCAAACAGCTCTTGTTTACCCAGTCATGAAATTTGGTCGATTGTCCAAGCTTCTACGCTAACTCGGCTGCAGCCTAGCGTAACCGTCTTACCACGTTCTTACCGCTGGGCAACGTCTTTCACCCCTGCATCTGCATCTCCGCTGATCGACGTGCAGTCGAGTTTCGATGCAGACGTGCTCTAATGCGAGCTTACGTACGCTTTCTATCTACGGTCACCGTTGTCTCTGTTCTTCTTCATCCTCAGACATCTCCGGGCATCAAGACCGCCTCACTATTTCACCACAGCAACCAGCCACACCTTATACAAGGCAAAATTTAAACACCGCGGAGCCTACGTCAAGATGAAAACTTGCAAATTAGGCGACCCAACGTCAATGTAGGCTCCAGACCTATTCAGGTTCTTCCTTGTATGAGGTGGCCACGAATTTCATCTTGTACTAGTTACATGCGAATCGTTGATGAAGCTGCATACATGTCTGGAGGACCCGTGTCTTTCACCTTGCAGTTCTTTCTTTAATCGCATACTGTCCAATATCTGAAGCTATGAACATCCACTCCAAGCACGGGTAAGCCTATGCGGCGTGCGCGTACGCTTACATTTGTTCCTGATTGACAATCGCTGATGGGTGGGAGCATAGTCCGTTATCGACTCCAACCACTCCGCTGTTCTCGGTTCTCTTAGGACACATTGGCAGTGGCTTCTCTCTGCCACCTCTACGAATCTTGTGCTCCTGTTCAAATAGCTTTTCTAGCATCTCGCGCTCTGCACAGCCTCGCAACCAGGGTGTCTTCGTATCCAAGTTCGGCCGCCCAAACACACTCACCAACTGAGCACTGGCCTCCTCGTTTGACCACTTTCGGATGGAGGCCTTGTGCAGTCGCTTCAACCCCACATCCCACGCTCTTGAGTTGAGTTGACTGTGCTGTAACACATCCTCCAGAACCGCGTCTTCTTCTTCCATCTGCTTCTTTTCCTGTCTGGCGCGTTTCAGGTATCGTGTCAAGAGGGTGATTGGGACTGCAAGGCCGATGATGCCAGCGAGGACAATCGCAAGAATGGCGCCAATAGGGCGTGTGTCTCCTGGCGTTGCATCTCTATACATGGATGGAACCAGTATCGAAGGGTGTGTTTGCTGAGAGCGCGCTGTTGAGGTGAGGTGTGTATTCCTCGGTATGTCGCCAATCAGCGAATTTGCGTGACCACTCTCTCTGAAACCAAAGTCCGAATTGAAAATCTGGCTAGTTGTGCTATCTAGAAGGGCCTCCGAAGCCTTTCCGTAGAAGCTTTCTGGCATACCAGGGTACGGATGCGTGTCGACATCAATATGGTCTCC